TTAAAGAAGTAGGGTGTGTCAAAGACAAGATGGTGAAACCAAACACCTATATAATGATGAGGTGCATGGTATGTATGGAAAGGTCGTAGTTTATTTACTTTTGTTGAGTTAAAGTCATAGTTGACTATTGGTAAATGGAATCACCGATTGATTTTCAATATCGGCAAGTTTATCATGTATCAGTGGTGGATAGATTTAGTTACAGAATTCGCTTTTGAAGATGCTTCAATTTAAACGTTGGGTACAGACGAAAGCTGGTGGTACCGGACTAACGGTACTTTCTATAAACAAATTGGATGGAGGATGCACGGACTGAGTTTCATAACTTTTAGTTCTTCATCCTGGTGGAAAGATGATGCTTCACGATAGGCAGGAGAAGGGACATAGTGATTTCTCTCCAAGTCTAATATTTATTAGATAGTAGAGATGGACCATCAAAGATCACTAGATCCTTTGCTGCCATTTCCTATACTAAAGTGGAAATGAGAGAGCATTTTACGATTTAGTTGCGGGATTTTTGATTTTACACAAGGGTCAGGATTCTGGATGGGATATTGGTTGACTGATATATTAGGTCAGCTTGATTCTTGTCTATTTCGAACTGGTAGGACTTTAGTTCATACGAATAGAATGGATCACGAGACGGTTTAGATAGATAGAATTGGTAATTCACACTTTATATCAAGTTTCGTCTGGTGGAAGCAATTATGGAAGTGGATGCTCTTAACAACCGATAAGATATTTAAATCTTTCGGTTCGTTGATGAGTTATCAGTTGAATGTATAGCAAGTTTAATAATAACACTTGTTATTACCAATGTAGTTCAGAAGGTCAATTTTAAATATTGGAGCTGACCCTAGAGAAGGAGTTTAAGGTACTGGAGGAAAGTTAGTAGTTTCTGTAAATAGTGATATGACGGTCGGGCGACTGAGATGGAAATTTATAATTTTTCTTGGTACACCCAAATGGTTAGAAGGTACATCACGACATTAAATGTCAGTTTTAGTGCACAAGTACGGATAAGAATGTGTATATAATTGCCCTAAGTGTAAAACCTGCTACAAAGGTAGAAAGTTGATCATCGGATATCATAGAATCTTTAGCCACTTCTTATAACAAATATGGAAGTTGAACTAAACAAGAGTGACGGTCAGTGGGAAGGATCGACATTGATTTGGAATTTCAATTTTTCATACGGAATCCGAGTGGTGGATTGAGAAAGATCGCTTGAGGACATAAATTTGAGTGATGCTTATTTTAGAACTTCATAGTAGTTATATAGTTCAGTGATAGTGGTGTTATAGCATGTGGATGTCCATATTAGTGGATGCAAAGTGCTATTTCGAAGGAGCTTTATGAAGATTTTGGAGCAGCAGCTCTACTTCATATATATAAAAGGAGGAATTAATCAGGAGATTAAATTAGACCATAAAGGATATGTTTGAGGCGTATATCCTAGATTTTCATGGACTGTTGGAAGTGTTTACTTCACTTGTCGGAATTTTGTCTGTGATATTGTTGGCACAAGGAGGTTAGTGTGACAACTTTGGAGGTTTTGTATCTTTCACAATGCATACCTCTCATTTGTTGGTTGGAAATGGAAGTAAGGGTTGTACAATCAGACCTCGACTTCATTTAAAAATATGCCAGAAAGAGATACTTCCCTTTGTACTGAAATGCCCGCGGTTGGGAGGCGACAGTGGGATGTTGTAAATAGTTGAACTCGTATACTAGAGTTTTTCTATCAGGAAGTAGTTTGCTCGTTCTGTTTTCCATGTAGGAAGAAAGGCGATTTTTGGAGAAAGGTCAATTTTACTTATTACATTGACTTTTAGAGAATTGTGTTTCGCAATTGAGGCAGTCGCCTCTGAATTAGCGTTACCAAATTATTAGCGCTGGGTGCATAGGAGTTTGTGCGTATATTCTATGGCACTTGGAGGTATGTAGATCATTCCTTTGTCGACATGGGAGGATTACGTTGTTATTTGATACAACCTACGCATTGTATGATTATTGTGTTTCTTAAAATATAGGAACTCTGTATACCACTTGGTATATTGGAGTTAAGTGGAGCCCGTATAGTGAGGTTGCGTCTACTTGGGAATATGAGAATGTTTTTCGCTCACAGTTTTCAAGCATAATGAAAGAAAGTAAGGGCGAATTCCGAGGACGGAATTCCTTTTGTTAGGGGGGAAGAATGTAATACCCTTAATTTTAAAAGGATAGTCTTGGTATTTATTTATTTGTTTTAATTGTATTTTTAATTATTTAATTGATTATTTGACTAATTGCTTATGTGTTTAATTGAATTAGGTATTACTTGATTATTTGATTACGTGTCTATGTATTATTTGTATTTGTCTATGTGTTAATTATTTAATTAGATTATGTGCTTAAATGGTATTTTGATTAATTGTAAATTATATATATATATATATATATATATATTTATTATTTTCTTTTATTTTTCTTTTATGATTATGGTCAGTAGTAATGGGCCATTGGATAGGAGGTTGGATGTGTATGGATTATTACCCTTGGATAGTTGTGTATGTATATATATAGATATATATTATATACATATATAAAAAGGAAAGTAATTTATTAATTACTTCTATGGTAACTTGGGTAGTAATATTTAATCTGATGTATACGTTTTATATTTAAATAATAAAAATATACATAGATTTGATACGTGTTATGTTTTAAGTTACTTTATAATATTATGGTAACTTAAGTATTATTGGATAATCCATTAATAAATAATGGAATGTGTATAATTTATTTATTTAATAAAGATATACATAAATTATATACGTAACATATTTTACTTACCTTTTTAATATATATAAAAAGGAAATTAATTGATTAATTACTTTTATGGTAACCTGGGTAGTAATATTTTATCTGATGTATATGTTTTATATTTAACTAATAAAAATATACATAGATTTGATACGTATTATGTTTTAAGTTACTTTATACTATTATGGTAACTTCAGTATTATTGGATAATCCATTAATAAAGAATGGAATGTGTATAATTTATTTATTTAATAAAGATATACATAAATTATATACGTAACATATTTTACTTACCTTTTTAATATTTTAATATTTATTTTTTTTAAGTTGACGTGAATTGGTAAAAGGATTAGGGTTATTTTATTTAGCCTATAAATATATAACTATAGGTTGTAAAAGGGGGTTAGAAATATTCACGTGATATATTCTAGAGAGAGAGAGTTAGAGAAGGAAGAAGGAAGAAGGAAGGAGGAAAAGGAAGGAAGGAGGAGAAAAACCCTGTAGAGAGAAGATCAAGGAAGAAGAAATTTAACTTTCGATCCGAAAGTTTAAGGTAAGTTCTTCTTCTATCTCTTTCCCTTTGATTCGTGTTTCTGTACATGCCTAGGAAATTCCAGAATTCATTAAACACATAAAATTAAATAATTATGCATGTTTAATTGGGTTAGAACATAGGTTTTATGAAATTGGTTCATATCTGTTCTTGTGTTATGAATTGATAAAATGCATGATTTTGATTTGATTTCTTATGTGAATTTTTACATGTTTAAATTATGTATTTTTCATATCTGTGGAATGATGGAACGTAGAAACATGCCTAGGATTCCTGAACATTAAATAGGGACTAGGTTTGGGTTTTAATAAATTTAAATAGACTCAATCATAATGATGCTTGCTATTTGAATGTTTTAAACAAACGAATGGATTTAATCTTTTAAAATATTTTAACAATTGAGATTAAATGTGTAGGATGAATTGGATATAGAGAATCCTTATTTAACGGTATAATAAAATATCATCATGTATAAGATTCAGTTTGTGTAGGACATATGATATAGGAAGTTTAAAGAAATAATAAGTCATTCCTATTATGTAATAACTTGATATCATATTTATCATAGTTATTTATGGAATGTTTGATGTATTTCCTTAATTGTTACATCAATTGTTGGATTGTGTGATTTAATGCACCGGTATGGGACGGTGGTATTTTAGGGATGGATTAACTTATCAGTTAAGTCCTACTTATTTTATATAAGGGAATGGATTAACTAAAATGTTAAGTCCTACTTATATTTAAGTCAGGTCAGCTGAACAAGTTGAATGACTTATGGAGGATTAATTTATTATATAAGGGAATGGATTAACTAAAATGTTAAGTCCTACTTATATTAAAGTCAGGTCAGCTGAACAAGTTGAATGACTTATGGAGGATTAATTTATACTGGATAGGATGGTTACTAGATTTTATATATATAAGTATGGTGCCATGATATGAGTTTGAGTCTCAGGATCAATGGTTAGGGCGCGTATATCGCCAGGAATGTGTAGCTAGATATAGTGTAGTTGTGTACCCTGGTAGGTCTAGGTACTCATGCCCACTATATGTGCGTTTTGCATGTTGCCTACTATTCAGGTTGAGACAACCCTATAGTCTAGTGAGGTTCCTTTAGTGTGTATATATATATATATACGGACTACTAGTTACTGTTGGATTGACTAGGATGTATACGTGTATCGGATCTCTGCTTGGACTGTAGTAGAGTAGAACTTGTTTGTGGGCCTGACCCACCATTATTTTTCAGGTGTTCGTCACGAGTAGAGGTTGTTCGTGCTAAGCGGGGATCAATCTACTTCATTCTTTCGATGCTACATAGGAGTTCCTTTATGATTCAGTTTCCTGTTTTAGATTACTGTCATTTGTTTAGTTTGGATTTTCTAGGGGTCCACACAGTATGGATTCCCAAGTTGTATTTTGGAGGATCAGTTGTATCAGAAGAGTTTATTAATTAATGGAAATATATTATGAGGTTTATTATTAGATTATCGTTTTAGTTTCTTGTCAGCATTTTATTTATTCTTCTTTATTCTTTTGTACTCTGTGTTCGTTTATTATCAATTTGTTTTGATATCCTCGGATATTCGGGCGTGGGCCTGGCCAACCCACATTCGGAAATTCGAGGGTATGACAAGTACCAACGATTACGCCACATACATGGAGTTCTAACTAGAGAACACAGGTGATATAAGAAACTGTTGTTGATGAAGACTAGATATAGTACTAACCATTTTGATATCTCTGATAATTGTGCACATTTTCTTGTCAACACAGAAGAAAGAGTCAATCCACAATGTATGGGTTTGTGAGCGTGTGTAAGTTTCCTGAATCTAATGAAATCTGAGAAGAAACATCCCAACAGAAAAGGCTCAGTGAACACACTGATCTTATTTCTCTTCTCATTTGGAAGAATTTGGGAACTTCTGATTTAAGTTTTTCTTATGTTTTCCTAAGTTTTTAGCAAAATTTTCTGCTCGTCATATACTTAGTTGGAGTAGAAAAGGCTTCGCATAATTCTTACTAAGCTTCTCATTATGAAGGGCATGATATCATCAAGATTGATTTTAGTCCACCATTTTGGAACATGTTGTCTGCATAATGTAGGTGGAGCTTAGAGTAAACAAATTTTAACATTTAGCTCTCTTAAATATTGATAAAGATCATGGTTCCAATAATAAGAGAGATGATTTTATAAGAATGATTAAATTGTATCAACCAATCAAGTAGCAGAAACTTCATTGTTTTCTCATAATCACGATAACTAAAGTTATGGAAAATGAAATTATAAGGGAGTTGACAAACTCTGTTAGGATCTAAACCCAATTTTATATAGATATTTGATCAATAATCTCCATCTTGGATAGGAAATTGATGATTTTTTTATGGACTTTTTTATTTATAAGTATGATCTTTAATGAACTTCATGGTTTATTAGTAAGGAATCAGTGAATAGAAGTAGAATGCTAGGTTGAAAGCATATAAATGCTCAAAATAAAATTTTCAGACACTGTTCCAACCTATGTCTTGTGAGTGCTGGTTGACAAAAGAAGTCACTAGTGTCCATGAACCCAACCACTAACAAAAGGACCCATATTATAGAAGTGTGTGTGTAACTCACATAATAATGTAATTATCTACACATCAGAAGTATGGCACATAGTGCAAAATATACTCCATAAGATTCTTATAAAAGGAATGGGATCCGATGCTGTGCACTGTTGGGTTAATTTCAGTCACAGTATGTACCGGATCCACTGGTGCACAGTAGAGAATCAGAATCTCTTATAAAATGGGGTCACACTGAATATCATAAATTAAAAGATTATATATGTCCGGATTTCTATTATTGGGCTCTCCTATTTCCCTTAACGTACTCTTATCAACAATACACAATTACACGCGGACATGGAAACGGGTTAAGATTATGTGTCTGAAACACAAACCCAAATCGAGCAACTTGTCCTCTTTGCTGATCAAAAAGGAAGAAAAGTTAAAATTCAATAGCAAAGAAGGATTTCCTATAGATGAAATCTCTTTCTTCCACCATTTTTTATTTAGTTTCAATTATTATTGAGTATATTTTTAAGGAATAATAGACTCATGTGATAAACTTATGTATCCTAAGATTCGAGATTTAGGCATTTCTAACATACATATCTGCACCTGATAAATCTACCCCAGACCAGATAACATAGACTACAACAATAGATAGGGATGACAGAATTAGATCACAAGGAAAACTTACATGAAACAAGAGCACCACCAAAGCTACATTGTATTCCTTTCAATTGGTCTACAATGTTATTGCACATAAACCCATAGCAATAGTTAACAGCAAGGGAAAAACTATGGCGAAGGCGCTCTCACATGAGAAGCACCCTCATCCATTTGATGGAGCTTGCAACATTATCCATTTGATTAAACAGATGAGGACTTTAATTCATTGTGAGATCTAACAAACACACCTTAGATAAAGATTGTAGAAATGCCTCATATATATACACACACATAAAGAAGAAGTGGAAGCCTTGGTTTCCATATTGATATGCCTACAATCTTGCTTCTGCCAAGGTATATTTACCTTAATTCTGCTTAACAAGGAAGAAACTCGTTATATATTTCACTTTTCTACAAGGTAACACATGAATTGAACGGTTGTGATTGACTTGTTACAATTTATTATAATTTCATCTGTGATGTTTAAAGCTGATTGTCACCAACTTTATCAAGTACTTTAACATAGTTCAGTTCACACTTCTACTTTTCCAAACTTTTCTACTTTTTGTCACTTCGTTAGGAAGTTGGAATCTTGGTTGGTGCTTTCCACATGCTAAATTTTCAAGAACCAGGACCACTGGTTCCCATAGAATCAGTTGAGTCTGGTTGAACTAAAATGGTCTTATATAACTCGCAGAGCCACGCTCAAACAGAGATGGCGTTAACCCAGTAAAGGTCACTACATCAAGTTGATCCCCGTTAACTGACTGTGCCGGAAGGCACACTCCATTGCACCAAGCAACAATCCCTGCCTCACAAGAAATCTACATAATAGTTGGTTGACGGTACAGCCTTTGGAACTGTAAGCGCAACCAGCTCACATCTATTCTAGGTTCAAAATAGAACTTTGTCAGATTGAAAAACAGAGCCACAGAGAATGTTGCATACAAACCAAAGCAAAATAAATCAATTAGGGATGACTTGTCAATGTAAAACAGCTTTATCTTATATAAGAAGAAAATAGCATCACAAGTAACCATGAAGAATTTTTATCAATCGCGCCATTGTGAACTTGAGGTAACGGGTGGCACATTTGACCCTCCTCAATCGCACCATCATTATTAAATTTTTTATTATAGTTACTTGTAGACAATAAGAGGGAAGTTGAAACTGTTCATAGAATTTAGTTAAATAAATATTAAATTTGAAATTTTTTAAACTGTACTCATTTCAAGTAGTAAGAAACCAAGTGATTAATCGAATACCATCAAACAGAGAAAAGAGTCTCCATGTACTGATGAACATCAAAGCTTCCAGAAGGCCGCAGTAACCTTGGATAATATCCAGCATGTGGACCTATACAACAAAGCTTCTTCACATTGTTATCCTTGAAGCTGTAGGAGATGATTGCGACGCCCAAGTTCGGCACCAAAACTAAATCTTCTTCAACTTCTCCACGAATTAAGGAAAACACAGAGAATGAAAACTCCATGTTGCAATTAAAAATTTCTTCAAATATAGGAATAATGTCAATTTCATGCTTAAGGAACCACTTGGAGTAATCTCTCTCCATCTCAAAGACATCAATCTTACTACTGCAAGGCCCATATAACTCTATAAGATGCAAATGGCCATTAGACACTCCAGAGTGCCAAAACATTGCATGTTTAGGTTTTAGGAAACGCCCTCTAATTTTTGGGGGTGGGATCGTGAATAGTGGCTCTTGTTCCACATTGAAACACAGAAGCTTCCCTAGTGTAGTAAAACCAAATGATGACGTCATTCTAGAAGACTATCCCCAAATTTTACTTCAGGTAGTACCTTGAAAGGATCCCCAGAGGATCTCCAACCACCAACTTCGGATGAATATATGGAAATCTGACAGAAATTTTGCAAACCGCTAGGGCTACGAATGGCAACAACTTTGTAGTGCGGACAAGATTAAAAACCAAATGTAAATTGCAATATACCAAATGTAAATTGCAATATTCCATTGGGTCCCAAATCCAGGGAACATCTAAGAATTGCTTCGTAGTGGGTTATAAACCCTGAAATGATAGTGATTGTCATATATATCCAAATGACAACAAAGTAATAAGCCATTAGAACAGCTTAGGAGTTGTGTTTCAGTGGAGCAGACTACTTGGTCATTGAAATTGGGAAGTCGAGATAAAGAAGAATAATTCTCCATGAGAGGAATGTATTCGATACTGCTACCTTCAACGATTGGACCACTGTAGGAGAAGAAGATGCCGGAGACCTTGGGATCGGATTATTGCCAATGATTGTGGCAGAGGAGAGAGAAGTGATGACTGGAGATGAGAGAGAACATGTTTTGGACACTGACTTGAAACGCATGAGCGATTTTGAAGGAAGACGTTGAAGGATTTCCTGGATAAGGTCATCGCCGCCGGGGAAAGATTCAGTGGCGGATGAGATTTCGTCGACATTCCACCAGCTTCTTCTGTAAGAAACAATTAAAGTTGTCCGTTTTCAGTGGATAGTAATTTTTTTGGTCAGATTACAAGTGGGCTCTGCCCTAAATGGGGTACAACCCTCCTCCCTGTTTGGGGAGGCTGAGTAGGCTGAGTGTCGAATTGACTAAAAACTAAAATTATGGGGTTACAGAACCAAACCTGCCGTTCGAGATAACCCAAACGCTAAGCCATGTCGCCATCCCAGTAAGAATCCTTAGCCGTCGTCGCCGCATCTGCCGCCAACATCTCGCCTCTGCCGCCAGCATCTCGCCGTCTCCGTCGCCGCCTCTGCCGCCATCCATCATCTTCACCATTATGTTCACTGATATGTGACCTGACACCCTCCCTCTCACTCGCGCGCTCTCTCTGTCGGATTCTGATTTTCCAATCCAACGGCTAACCAAAATATTTCTCCCCTTTAATAAACATTCTTGATACACATTTGAATTTAAAATTTCGATAAAATACTTACGCAAATAATATAAAAATAAATCACAAAATAAATTTCATTTTTTTTATATTATTTATATGTTTTGCTGAAAACGTATTCTGTCCACTTAACAATATTAATCACACGTAATATTATTATATACAGCACACGCACACATTAACAAATAACGGAGGACCAAAACATGAGCTAAAGCATCTTGATTTGGAATATTTGGTTTTGGCCAAATAGGGGCTTTTATTTTAATATTATTATTTTTTTTTTCTTGACTCGACATATATTGCCTTTTGAACTGAAATTAAAGCAAACCCCAATTTTCAAGTGAAACCATATAATACCATTACAAAGTTTCGGACATGGGGATTGAAAAATAAAAATTTGACCAACCACAAAATATTCAAACTCAAACTAACATGTAAAATTCAAAGTTCGGTTAAGTTCAGGTTGACTCATTCTAATTTCAATTTGGGTTGACGTCGATCCAGCCCAACTTCCATCTCTAATTAGGAATAAATTTGAGAGAGAGTTTAAAATTGTAAAACACTGATTCGATTAATAATTAATATATAAATAAATATTCTTTTATTAGATATAATTTTTATTTTTATCTTTGTTTTTTATGATAATTTTAAATTTTAACAACATTTACGTTATTACGGGTGGTTAAGTGTTTGACTATACTAGTAACTTTTTGAAGCAATTGTTTTCCAGTTTCCTACAAAGATAGATGAGGTGTTGACAAACACCAGTGCAATGCCCCTCCGATGATTAAGTCCGTGACGTTCCGGTCTTGTTAACGATTAAAGCACGGAATTTTGTAATTAATTTTTTCATACATGTTTGTTGGTCAGGCTTGTTCTTAGAAATAGTGATCTTCCGGTCTGTTGCAACTTACTGGGATTTGAGTAGACCTATAAAAGAAACTGTTGTTGATTAAGACTGGATATAGTACTGACCATTTAGATATTCTGATAATTGTGGCATTTTCTTGTCAATACAAAGAAAAAGTCGATCCACAATATATGTGTTTGTGTCTGTGCAAAGTCCCTGAATGTAATGAAATCTAAGAATAAACAATCCGAACACAACAAGCACAGTGAATCTATGTGTTTTTAGCACTACTTTTAGCTCATATACCTGGTGAGAGTTAAACAAGGCATTGTAGAATTCTTACTAAGCTTCTCATTATGAACAAGCACAGTGAAGGGAACGACATAATCAATTTTTAAATTTAGCTCTCTTAAATCTTTGATAAAGATCATCGGTTCCGATAATCACAGAGATGATTTATGAAGAATGATCCAGTTGTATCAACCAATCAAGAAATTAATACTCATACCAAAACTTTTAAAAAGCTATATGTGTGTGTGTGTGTGTAAGTGAACTGTGAACCAAGAATAATTGAATTTTTGCATTTTAATAGAAAGAAAAACAGATTATTTATTGTTTTCTAACAATGGTGGTAATTAAAGTTATGGAGAGTGAAATTAGAGGGAAGTTGAGAAGCTATATGTTAGTCTAAACCCCATTTTATATAGATATTTAATCAAGAATCTCCATCTTGGAGTTGGAATTGGATAATTTTATATGGAATTCATGGTTTATTATTAGTAAGGAATCAGTTATGAGAAGTAGAAGAATATGTAGGGTTGAAAGTATATAAATGATCTAAACTTAAAAAAGTTCAGACAATGTTCCAACTTATGTCTTGTGGGTGCTTGGGCTCAACTCATTCTGAGAGCGCCCTAACAAACATACCTTAGATAAGATTGCAGAAATGCCTCATATATATATATATATATACACACACAAACACACACACACAAACACAAACACATAATGTTTGATGCTGCTTTAAATCTTTTGAGGACCATAAGTTGTGGCCTTAACACACTCCATCCCCTTGACATGAACTGCTCAAAGGTAAGCCCAAGCAATGAAATTGGCATGGCATGTAATAAGCAGTTTCAGGAGAAAATGAAACAAAAAAGTAAAAAATAGAAACCCAAGTTAGTTACTTCGAAAACCGGTTGATTGCAGATCTATTGCAACTATAATCACTGGCCCCTTCTGTCATCCTGCTTTTTGGAGCAGCCGCAGTCCCGGAGGAAATCTGCAGTTTTCCGGTCTGAATATCGGAGTCAATGTCCGAAAATGAAGAATATGCTGCAAAAATCCTCTTATCCGATCCACAACATGCTCGGTGCCCAACATGCTGTGCCATGCGCCATCCAATCTTGCATGGTAGTTTGATACAACACCAGACAAGGGTCAGTGGGCAAGACACACAAAGTAGACAGGCACTGCAGAAGAATTCTATCGCTCGGGGGCAGCATATGGAGTTGTGTGCCTGACAACAACATGAAGAAGAAGAAGAAGAAGAAGAAGAAGTAGAAGAAGTGGAAGTCTTGGTTTCCATATTGTTATGCCTACAATCTTTCATTCTGCCAAGGTATACTTGCCTTATTTCTACCTAAGAAGAAGAAACTCATTAAATATTTCACACATGAATTGAACGGTTGAGATTGACTTATTACAGATTTTATAGTCTCATCTGCAATGTTTAAAGCTGAATGTCACCGACTTTAACAACTACTTTAACACAGTCTGCACTTTTTCTTTTCCAAACTTTTCTTCCTTTCTATCACTTCGTTGGGAAGTTGGAATATTGGTCGATGCCTTTCCACATGCTAAATTCTCAAAAACCAGGACCACTGCTTAACTGAGGAGAATCAGTTGAGTCTAGTTGAACAAAAATGGCCTTTGAGCTCACTATATCAAGTTGAAAATCTAAAATTAGTTTCATAGCCAAAATGCTTGATGAACCCATTCCCTGAAAAACCTAACGGGTTAACCAAGTTGTGCCATTTTATTCTTGAAGAGTCGAAGACCATATAAACAAGTCTCAGGTAAACTCCTACCTTACTCAAAATATGGTCACTGTAGGGTGCCTCATTTCCTCTGGGGATTAATCCTACTTCTAGAAAGGGTAGATACACCATTCGACACAAAAATAAATAAATAAACAGTTCTATACAACCAAGTTAGATAGAGTGAAATAAATAATATATTTCATGTAGTACAACTCAAGTAGTTGGGAAAAGGCTTTGTTGGGTTGAGTTGAGTTCCATACATCTAAGTTACTTAACAATCGAGAGGTACCTAACTATGAAGGCCAACGAGACAGTGATGACAGCCTAGAAATGTCCAACTGAAGGCCAGACACAATTAGGCAAGACTTTAAGCACATCAGGCTTAATTGAATAACAATAGCATTAAGAAGCACAATTCCTTACCTCTAGATGGGTAAAAATAACCTGAACAAGCAAGCCAAAAGGAGTTCATAACAAGAACTTAGTCGAATAGACCACACATAACAAAGGAGCTTGGAACTTGGAAATACAAGACTACTTTTCAAGTAGTAGCATTAAACATCACTTGAATCGAATAAATTTTGACAAAGAACATAAAAGTTGAAAGTATTTAAACTACATAAATGTATAACAGTAAGTCTTTTCCCAATAATTTTACTGGGACATATTGGTGATGACAAAAATTCTACACTGGTTGTTAAGCTACCTAGCACAACCTCCTTTTTTCGGGCATGATTCCATCTGTAATACACAAAACATGACACATTCGGAGTTAACATACATGTATAAATGGCATTAGAAAATTAAAGAATAGTTCAGGAACAACTACTCTATCATATCCTTTACAACAAATAAATTATTAAGAAATCCATACATATATAAATGAGAATTGATCAGTATTACAATAGAACTCCAGATGTCAAAAAGGCCATTTTGGAAATTTGAACGCTTATAATCTACTCAATTTTTTAATTTGAATTTATATCAGAAAATGAAAACTGGGCAGTATTAATTTTAAACTCCGAATGATTATTAGACATATAAGTCGTGATGGCAAATTCCTACTGACTTGGATTTGTAATGTGTCAAAGTGTTTAAAATTGATTGTCTACAACCATGGAAGACATTAAGGACTCAAATTTGCTAACAAAACAGCCTAACATTCATATTCTCAATCATAAATCTAGAACACTGGTAAATAGATTGTGGAAGACCTAATTGAACCTAGATTCGATCTGAAGGAGGCTCAAAAATTAGGAAACGACATAGGCATAAAATGAGTTTGACGGAAACGCAAATGCTGGGATGGATGTGCGGTAAGAATAGAAAGGATAGAATTAGAAATGACTGCATTCTTGAGATGGTTGAAGTAGCATGAATTAGAGATAAAATGATGGTTGGGACATGTGCAAAGAAGACCTTTTAAGTGCCCCAATTAGGAAGAGTGACATAAACCACATTGAGGGTAATACTCGGGGAAGAGGAACACCAAAGTTAATGTGGGCAAAATTAGTAAAAAGAAAGAGAGGATAACATGTAGTTTGATTGAGGCCATGTTGTTAGATAGAGCAAAATAGAATAAGATTTATGTAGCCAACCCCAAGTAGTTCGAAAAAAGGCTTTGGTTGTTAATGTTGTTGATGTAAGGCTCAAAAATCATTTTCTAAGTATATTTTCCTAAAATAGGATTTCAAATTTAAGTATTTTTTGAAAGTTTTGAAAATTAAATTTTGGTGAAAAACTAAATAGCACAATAGGTACACCGATCGAAGGTTGTCTCATAAGCCTCAATGGATGCATGGATAGACCTAATGATTTTCTATAAATTGTTTTTAGAATCCAATGTGTCTCGATTAAAGCGTCGATTGATCAAGGAAATTCCAAAATTATGTCAATTGAATGCTCGATTGATCGAACTTTTGAAAACTCTCTCCAATCAAGCTTTCAGTAGGATTCTTCTTACCTCATAGCCAGGGTCATCTTTATTAACTATAACTACATGACTATCATCAATGAAGGGTGTAAAGCAAGAGCTTTCACGTGAGAAGAGAGAATTTATATTTTATGGGAAACAAATCCTTGTTTTCTCAATTTAGGATTCGAAGGCTTGATTGTTGTATGTACTTGAGATGGATCAACTACAAGGAGTATAGAAAAATCAAACTAAGGAGCGAATCACCGATCAAGAGCAGACAAATTGAGCAACTAACAGAGAAGCAGAGTTTGTAAGGAGTGAATTTTATCGATGGATCAACAGCAAGAGGATCAGGAGTGGTCTGGCCTAAGTTTGAGTCAGGAGGGATCAAGTGATTCTTGGTACTAGAGTCTGATAGCTTAGTCTATAACCTCTTCCTCTAACAGCAGATTGATCATGGCTGAACTAGCTCCCGTGGTTTTTTTCGTATTAGGAATTTCCACACGGAAATTCCTGAGTCCCTGCTCTCTTTTTATATTTCTGATATGTAATTGTGTAGATGAAAATTTGTTGAAAAAATAATAAGATTAATTATAATTTGAATAACAATCAACAATAATTTCAAAAGTTATCCAAAATATGAATTAATATCCACAAGACCTATTCAACTCCGCTCTAGATCTAATTCAACAGTGCACCCTTGGGTAGCGATCACTCCACTTATAAATGATCTCATTCTCAAAAGATGAATTCATGAACAATAATTTTTATAGTTGCAACTATGCAAAGAACAGCCTTAATGTTTTAATTTAGAGAATTTCTTACTTATCAAACAAAATTTAGAGAATTTATTGTAACAAAAATATTAGCCATTGTAGTAGCACAATCAGTCCATATCCATGGTTATGCCTCCATAAAAAACTATGACGAAGATCAAGCAGAAGAGAAAAAAAAAAATCGTTTTACCCTTATAGTTTGGGGAAATTTTTAAAAATGACTACTTATGGGGCATAATTACATTACGACTGTATTAAAAAAGAACAGATGTATAAGGCCATTGAACACGATGTAATTACAAATACGACAACTTATACACAACAATTTCGTATTTGACAAGCACCTATACAATTAGGACAAAATTACACCTAATATTTTAAGGATTACCCATTACCTCTTTCTCTATATATATATCCATATATGTATACATATTTTCTCTCTCTAACTCTCATCTTCATCTCTTTCTCATATCATACGCATCTATATATATACAGACAACCACCCACACCACCACTGCCCCACCACAACCGGTGATGAATGTATCACTGTTCATCACTGAATCATCCAAATCAAATTCTTTCCAAACAAAATCAGCAGCCCCTTTTAAAATTTCCATCCCTCCTCCTTTTTCTCTTTAGTACTCTTTCTCTATCATTAGATAAACGGAGACCCATCCACTTCTCCATCTACAGATCCAAAGAACCCTCAAAATTCAGCAAATGTTGGTGTGTGTATATATAGTGTGTGTGTATATATGGAGAGAGTATCTCAGAGCTTCAGATTTTTCTTGAAACCAGTGAAAAAACACAAATTGGATCTCTAAATATAAAAACAGACGACCCATTTTCGAAATTCAAAATTGGAAACAAATCCAAAACAATTTGGATACTTTCTGTCTCTAATTTATCGCCCAAATCCTCGCTCCACTCCTCCTTTCCTTCATAGACCGACTTTCAAGATCTCTCTCTGTTAGGTTGCAACTTTGCCAAGTAATAATTTTGATTCTGTTTGGTAGCTTTGGATTCAATCAGAAAAATATATAACTATATCTCTCTCTAAAAATCTTTAGTAGAAACTAGGTCTAGCCAGCTATTGTGCATAAACAGAACATCCACTATATATATACACTTCGGTCATCGACTTGCGAGCTCACAACGACTTCTTCTCTGGAGACAAGGACAACGGCCGCTCCCTCTTCGGCAACATCCACAAAGCCCATGAAAGTTTTGTGATTCTCAACAGAATGGATTCAAGATTTGGGATTGTATATGTCCCTGTAGTGATTGATTTGTTGGGGTTGGCAGTCAAGACGCATTGACCCAACTTCTGGGTTTGTAAATTTTTTTTTTTTTTTTTTTGAGAAATTGAAGATGCAGTCGAGGGAGAATTTGAAGATCAAGCAGCACTAACATAATGGATTCATTCATGTGGTTTGGGTCGTGTTTGGATGATGGTTTTCGGATGATCTACATATGCCGGCACGGTTTGTGTTGAAGATGACGAGGGGTTGGGTAGTGGTTTATGGTGGTGGTGGTTCGCTAAAGAGAAATGATGGTGGGTGGTGGTGGTGATCATGGTGGTTTATGGTGGTGGTGGTTTGCTAAAGACAAGTTAAAAAAAAAGGGTTATTCTGCCACAACCAATTAAACTAAGAATAAAAAATTAAAAATTAAAAAGAGTTTATCTGCTACAATCAATTAAACTAGGAACAAATTTAAAATATATATTCAGAATTTATAATTTGAAGATTAAATTTCTTTCCAGAATATCAACATAAGACGTGGTCACATAGGATATATAAAACAACATTACTGGTTCAATGTAAACTAGAGAGATAATAAGATTGGAGTTTAAATTGTTCATAGAATGTAATTTGAAACTGTAATAACGTTAAGTAATAAGAAATCAAGTGATTAATTGAGTACCATCAAACAGGAAAAAGAGTCTCCATGTACTGATGAACATCAAAGCGTCCATACGACCGTTGTAACCTTGGATTTGGATAATAACCAGCATGTGGACCTAGACGGCAAAGCTTCTTCAAAGTGTTATCCCTGAAGCTGTAGGAGATGATAGTGTCGCGTACGTTCAGCACCAAAACTGAATCTTCTTCAACTTCTCCATGAATTAAAGAAAACACAGAGAAAGCAAAATCCATGTTGCAACCAACAATTTCTTTGAATATAGGAACAATGTCAATTTCATACTTGAGGAACCAATGGGAGTAATCTCTTTCCATCTCAAAGACGTCAATCTTAGTTCTGCAATACCCATTGAGCTCTACAAGATGCAAATGGCCATTAGACACTCCAAAATGCCGAAAGGTTGCATCTTCAGGTTTTAGGGAACGCCCTCGAATCCTTGGTGGTGGGATCGTGAATCGTCGCTCTTGTTCCACATTGAAACACAGAGAAGCTTCCCGGGTGTAGTAAAACCAAATGATGGTGTCATTCCAGAAGACTCTATCCCCAAATTTTGTATCAGGTCGTACCTTGAAACGATCCCCAGAGGGTCTCCAAGCACCAGTGTCGGATGAATATACGGAAATTTGACAGAAAATTTTCGAATCCCTAGGGCTACGAATGGCAACAACTTTGTAGTGAGGTGATTTAACAGGATCAAAAACCAAATGTATACTCCGATATTCATTCGGGTCCCAAAGCCAGGGAATATCAGAGAATTTCTTCGTAGCGGGGTTATAAACCCTAAAGCGATAGTGATTCTCATATAAATCCAAATGACAATAAAGTAATAAGCCATTAGAAGAGCCTACAAGTTGTGTTTCAGTGGAGCAGAGTACTCGTTCATCGAAACCGGGAAGTCGAGATATGAAGTGAGAATCGTTTTCTCTGTGATCAAGATTTTCCTTGAGAGGAATGTATTCGATACTGTTACCTTCGATTGGACCGCTGTAGGAGAAGAAGAGGCCGGAGACCTTAGGATCGGATAGTTGTCGATGATTGTGCCAGAGGAGAGAGAAGTGATGACTGGAGATGAAAGAGAACCAGGTTTTGGAGACTGACTTGAATCGCATGAGCGATTTTGCCGGAAGACGTAGAAGGATTTCCTGGATAAGGTCATCGACGCCGGAAAAAGATTCCGTGGCGGCTGAGATTCCGTCGACGTTAGCCATTTAGGCTTTGTTATTCATTGTCTCAATTTCTGATGTTGACGGGTTTAGGGTTTAGGCTATGTTTGGTTTTGGCAGAAAGAAAGGAAAGTGCACCATTTTACTAGTTAGACAGAAAGAAAATAAGAGGATAGGAGTTGTTATGGACCGTTATGGTTATGGTATTTAATGATAAATTTTTTAAAAAATAAAGTAATCATGCCTTTTCATAGATTTTGACTTTTAAATTACTCCGTATAATTAAAATTTAATAGGAGTAGCAAAATATTGTTTAAAAATATTAGTTTTTTTTTTTTTTTGGTAAAGTACACTGACACCCCCTGAGGTTTGGGATAAGGACAGCCAGATGAAACTTAGCCTATTTTGGGACAAAAACACCCCCTCAAGTTTGATATAATAACCAAAGACACCCCAATGGTAATGAGTTGACATTTCTGTCCTTTGACTTTTATATTGACCATGAAATGATAATTCTATCCTCAGATACCCGTTCCAATTTCTCTCTCTCTCCTCTGTTCTCTCTTCCGCCGCCCCAACACCAACGCACACACATACATATATACACAGACACATACACATATATATGTATATACAAATACATATATATATATATATACACACACATATATGTATGTATAGACAGGTGGCGATGGTAAATGGATGCGGGCCTTTATCCTTCGATTCCATCGGTGAGCTTACCCAACGCCGGAGTACGCAAGTCATGAGTTGGGCTTAATGGCAGCGGTGGCAATAATTGTTCGACGAGGGCGACGGTGAGTGCTCTCGCTTGGTTGATTCTCTCTGTCAGGTCTTGATATATCCCACGGCAGCGCACAAAATTGGAGCCATCAGTCTGACGAAGCTTCAAACTACAAGACCCGATTCTGTCCAGCGAGCCCCAAATCCGGTGAAGCCTAGTTTAGATCGACGAACCCAAGCACGAACAGTTCCCCCGACCCAGAAGAAGAGAATGAGGTTTCAACAGATTGAGAGGGATCGCAGAGAACTGGGTGGTTGCGCCGCCTTGCGTAATCGGAGGGTATGCTGAGAAGGGTACGCAGATCTGACTCTACTTTCTGGATGATTGAGAGGAACTCTTTCCCTCTGTGGCTCATTTCCATCACGCTCATTCTGGTTCCACGCCAATTTTAGAGCTCAGATTTGGCCATCTTGGGCACGTTTTCAGGTAGAGTGGCTGGACTGGCGGCGAAATTGAAGACCCGATCTTGGGATTGGGAGGTGGAGGTTGGGCGATCTTGGACTTGGGTTGTTGAATAGGTGATCGATATGGGTTTGTTGAGGAACGAAGATAGGTTGAGGGGGAAGCCATTGAAGTGGGTGGTGGTGATTGTGTTGGGGCTTTTGAGAAGGTGAAGGTTAGGGTTTTTCAGGAAGAGAGGATGAGGTGAAGTTGTTGACATTGCCATGGTGTTTTTGAAGTTGTTCACATTGCCATGGTGATAGACCAAAAGCTTGATCCTTCCCTTCCATTGGAGAGCTTGAAGGCACGGTGGTTTGGGGGTGGGTGTTGGTGGTTGTGGAGTTTTGGTGTGGTTGCTGCAGAATCCGGTTGTAGGATTGATGGGGTGTTGAGGGTAATTTGGTCATTTAATTATTTTAATATTTTATAATTAAAATTAATAAAATAGTGAAGGGTAATGTTGACTTTTCATATGTTTTAAGGCTCTGTTTGGCTTGTAAATATTATGAGGGGGTGTCATTGTCCCAAAACAGAGCAAGTTTCATCTAGCTGTCCTTTTGACAAACCTCAGGGGGTGTTAGTGTACTTTACCCTTTTTTTTTTTATTTGCTCTCAGTTTTTTTTTAGAAATGACAACCGAATTTACTATTCATACCTTGTTGTATTCTTCCAAATCTTTAATTTTTATTTCTTTTCTTTCTAACATTTTACAGCAAACAATATTTTCTCCCTCCCTTACCACACTTTTTTTTTTTTTTTTTTTTTTTTTTTTCATTGTACCAATCTGGCTAGGGAGAAAAGAAAAAATAGAATAACATGTTTGAGTAAATTATGAAAGAAAAGGAAGCATAACATTCTTGTTTGAAAAATATTAAAGAAAAAAAAAATTATTTTAACAAATTTAATATTATACCACCAATGTTAAGGTGGGGAGGGTGGGACTCACATATCTTGTAAATTTCTTTAACTAAAATGTAAAATTTATTTTTGGGTATTGTAAAAGTATCACTTAAATTGTTATCATTTCCCTCCAATCCTTTACTTTTGGAAGGATAATAAATAAATATTTGTATTGATAGTTTATCTCTCCAAGAAGCAGCGACCCCACACTGGAGCGAAGTGGGGCGATGGGCGTACCATCGGCCGGGCGAGCCCCCTGGTGTGGGCCTTAGTGTCCGTCAGAGATCGATAGGCTTTAGTCAATCAAGCAGCCACTGAATCTCGAGCTTCATGAAGCCTCTTTCTCCCCACCCCTAGTCGTTGGAGAACGAGTGAAACAGAGAATTCCCATCTTTGGTAGTTGCGTCTTGTTAACCCTACCACGTCCCGAGCAAATTTCTTGCATTTTCTCTACTCATTAACAAAAATCATTATTCCTCTCTCTTTTCTTTTCCTTCAAATTCTATCAATCCAAACAAAGTTTTAAAATTGTAGAATTTTAAACCGATAGAGTGATATTTTTAGATGGATTGACCAAAAATAATAGGGTTACTGACAGGAAGTGTGGGAATGATTTTGTTAGAAATAAACTTCAAAAGTTAAGGAAATGGCCGGATGATAAAAAAGAATGAAGACATTTTCTTATAGTAATTTCATCTATACGGGACTAAACCAAGGAGATGATAATGATATAATTTATTTGTATTCTAATTATATGTTTTTTTATTTTCTATAATAAATATTAAAAAAAAAATTAATACATTATCTAGTTCTATCACTATAATGTATTTAACCTATACAAATTAAATTATTTAAGACTTACCTCTAAAGTATTTTATATTATTCAAACTTCTTTTTTCAATTTCTATAATAAATTTTGAAATTATATATATATATTATAAGTAGTACCAAATTTATTTATTTTTTTCGATTGTTTATCCTAAGCCAGCAGAAGGACTTGTTCTAGTTCTACAAACTCCACATCCTTAACTTCATGGTAACAACCAAAAAAAACACCATCCTTCTGTTTTAATTGTGTTAATTGATTACATCAAATGGAGGAATTCGATTCTGCCTCTGCTAGCTATACATTATAGAAAGGTTAAATCCGGTGGCTCAGGAAGTTACAAAGTTTGCGAATGCAAATGAAGATACCAATGCTATATTTGGGGCACCGAATTGGCGGATTGAATTTGGAATTGAAGAAAATTTAGTTTAAATTTTATACTAAATTTCTTCCAATTCCGAATTTAAAGCACCGAATTAATGCTCCCAAACGCAACATGAATTTAACATCGTTTCCATTTATATGTTCAGATAGAGTAGTTGATGATAAAGATTCTAAATTTTTCTCCAAAAAATAAAAAGGGAGTTGAAGATCTTAGAAAAATTAGATTTTACGGAGTAGTCATTGAAATAAAACAAAATTGCTTTGCAATAACTCTGAATCTTTTCTGGAATTCATAAGCTTTTTATGAGAGTGGATCATTACCCTACACTGTCACCTTTGCTGGTTCTGGTTCTGGTTCTGCATCTATAGCCATTACAAGAAAAGGAAAAAAAAAAAAAAAAAAAATCAACAAAGCGAACTTAAAACAACCAAAAACATTTTACCAAACAAATGAAGAGAAATGTTTTTCCTTTTGCTCGGCTAGAATTACCCACAAATGAAAACATTGGTATAATCAAGCAAGATATGAATTGCTTTAAAATTCACATAAAAAATCACATACTCATATTGATTTCATAAACTCTACCTCAATTTCAATTTATGCAGATAGTTTACAGTTGGATTTGGACCATTTGGTTTAAGTTTCACAACACGCTATTCTAAATTTCTAATACTACCGTGCTTAACCTTAGTATAATTTATTGGAGGCAAATACCGCTCACTTCTCACCTGAAGACGAACAGTAGTAGAAAATTGAAAATAAAAAAAAAAAAAAATTCAGTGAACTTATCTTTAAACAGAGCTGCAAATTGATGATGAGAGAAGCTCAATATCAACTCTGTTTGTTATATGCAGATTGAATAATAAGGCTAAACAGTAATTCTTAACAGACACAAAGTCCAAGATTTTCTGAAATACCTCAAGGCTGACATAAATAGTAAGAAAGTAAGTTATGCTACTGCTGAAGAATTATAGAGAGATCACAGTGCCTAATCAAGATTCCAGCGGCCAAAAGCAAAGAACCAACTGCATAAACATACAAGAAGATAAAATACACACCATGAAATAATAAATGCTGGTTGTGATAAAAATAGGATCAGATTAGGGGTTAATATCAAGTCCACAATACCAATTACATGTGAATAGCATAAACATGCTAAGGAATGAGCTGCCCCACATGTAACCCATCAATGAAATGAGTTGATGTGTCTGGAATTTCTACATGCCTCCACCGTGATTAAGTTGGGGTCGCAGAACAATGCGATTGAAAAAGAGAATCACCACCTGAGCCATTTAAGCAAAATTAGGTGAAATAGAAAAAAGGAACAAAATTGTGTTTCTGTAGATGTAATTAATGTAGAGTCAAGAATTTTAAAAAAAATAAATAATGCGGATCAATTTAGTTTCAGCTGCAAATTTTTCAAACAAAAATAAATAATAGGCACAAGAAGTTTCTATTGCTTCAAGCCTTCAACAACATCAGATAACCATGAAAGTGGAACTCAACTACAAGAACAAAGTAAATATGGTGACACTCCCTTGCAAATAAGACAACTGATTAGCTAAATATGTTGAGACCAGAAAAGATTGACGTAAATTAAAATAACTCGAAGACATGAACAATGCAATTTACAACATTTTTAGAAGTTCCAACTTAAAAGGCAAGAGAACTCAGACTTGTTATACAATAACAACTTGAGCAGAGTTTCATAAAATTCTAGCTTATAGATAAATTGCAGTCTCCAGGTAAAAATAGGATGTTCAAAGTAACATAGAGCATTAAGATAATAACACACTTATAATGTTCCACTGCAAATATGCATAATTTACATGCTACCAAAGTATTCCGAACATCTTACATTTTGCTCCCAAGAGCACAGTTTCAATGGAGTGAGTGCTTTTGGGAGCAAGTTGTGGACAGTCACAAAAAGTAAAAAAATAAATAATAATAATAATAATAATAATAAATGGTTGATAGCAAATACCGCTGGCTTGTTACCTGAAAACAACAGCAGTTGAAGATACTCCTGGACATTCTCCATGACAAGTTGAGCAGGAGCACAATGCCCTGAAACAATACGAGCAGCCAAAGCAATGAATTCTGTCACCAGGACCAGCATTTTATAAGGCACATGACAGATCTTGAAAAAAAAAAAAAGGAGATAATACATCAAGACCCAATTGCACAAAAAAAGACTGCCATTTGGCAAAATATGTTCATGGAACTAAATTTTTCCACAAAAGAGCTGCAAGTTGATGAGGAACTCATAGGTAACAACTAACAACGATATAGTGAAAGAAACTTTCCTCATTTTGAAATTTAAAAGAAGGCCAGAATCGAGAAATGTGAACAATGTTGTTTTATGCTTTAGATATTAACCAATGCAAGTGTTCTGTAAATATGAAGTTACTTGAAATATTGATTGTTATCCCTTAATTTATCTGAGAATGTGTACATCAGTTCTTTTCTTGGTAATAAAATACGGTAGAATTGAATATAGCAATCAATATTTTACAAAAGAACATGGATGAAAGGAGAAAATTACTCACAAAAGCGTATACAGTAGAATTCAATTGCTTTTTGCAAGAGACTCAGAGAAATCAAAAGGATTGCTTGTTTTTTTTTCTCAATGCACGTAGAGTAGAGCAGGAATTTGCAATTGAAGAAGAATAGTTAATGTGAGTTTAGAATGGGCTTCATCTTCCCCAAATCACTAGGAAATGAATTCATCTATGTTGAAAGGGACATCTATCTCCACGCAAGGGATGTCGGCAATCATTGGCCAGTAATCTTCTCTTTCCTTCTTACACCCTTCTTTTAGATTTGGACAGTTTTCTATTTTCAGCGATTGAAGCGTGGAAGCCAGTACATCCATGGGCAAGGACGGAAGCTTAGAGCAATGGTAGAAATCTAGATGTTGAAGAGAAGTGGGGTTTCGGAACCCCTTTGATGATATGCATTCCACATTCGAAAGATTCCAGATGAATAACTCGGTTAGACTTTGCAGGAAACACACACAACGCTTCATCAGGAAAGCAAACCATCTCCGAAAATCCACGATGGATGCTGAATGTTTGTGCAGGCCCCACTCTGACAGGGATGGCTTCCCGTAATCACCATCAACTGTAATTGTAACAAGTTGTGGGGGCAAATTCCCATTCCTCTTCCCATTGCCAAACAACTCAAGATTTGGACAACCATCTAAATAGAGGTATGCCAGGCTTTGAATCTGATCGAACGGCGGCAAAGACCTCAGATTCACGCACTTACAGATACGAAGTGTTGTTAGGGGAATGGAAGATAAACCACCTCTTTCTGGGAAGCACTCCAAACTATCGCAATTCCATATATACAGTCTAAGGAGATTTGCAAAATGTTTGACGCACCCAACTAACCTTCCCATATTTGGCCAATTAATCATGGATATGGTTTCAAGCGATGACATACCGTTTCTACTGCTGCTGCTCTTCTCATCGTGTACCATTGTCTCTGAAACCCATTCCAATTCCATGGAATTTATAATATAAATATACTTGAGTGTGGTGGGAAACGTGTCTGTTGGACACCACCTCAAGCCCTTGCAATCTTCAAGCTTAAGCCAGCTAAGAAAGGGTGGGAGACCATTTTCTAGAAAGCGCACAAGTTTTGAACACCCAATCACATCCAACCGCTTAAGAGACTTTAGGTTGTTCAACCCATTTGGTAGCTTCTCCAGATTGGCGCACTCTCTTATTTTCAAACTTTTAAGTTTACAAAAAGGTAGTAGCAGCAATGTATCTTCTTTCCCCAATGTCAAACCATTCTCCCACGGAGTTAACAGTTGGTCACATTTTTTAAATTCAACTATTTCAAGTGCCACCAGAAATTGCACCACTTCTTCTGAGAGTATACATAGCCCTCTAACCCTCTTAATTTTCAAGCTGGTTAGTGATGTCAAATCAATTACACTTTTTAACACTATCTCATCACATTCTTCCACAAATAATTTAGAAACACACGGAAGACTTAAAACTAAAATCCTATTCGACTTGGGACATTTATGTAAATTAAGCACTCGAAGACGAGGCAATTGTCGTACAACTTTTTCCATGTCATCATTTGAGAAACACCATTCCTCCAATTCCGGCATATCCTCGAATGTTAGACTCCAGTGAAGGAAAAGGAGATTCTAATGGATAATCATATTTGCAAAACTCGGCCCCAATGCTTTTAACTCCATGCATGCCTTTAATGAGTAGGTCTTTGAGTAAGGGCAGCTGTCCCGGTGGTGGTAATGATTCACATATTATACAACCACGAAGACTTAGATTCACCATTTTAGAAAATGTTGGATTTCCCATCCAAGTTGGAAAGCTCGCGCCCCTGTAGAATTCAACTTTAAGCTTTTTCAACTTTCTTTGTGGCTCTAGGGCGTTAAGTACATGCATTTCAAGCTCTCCAGTACTTCTAGAATCATCAAAGTCTTCACTCCATCCCAACTCTAATTCATCAAGGTCCTTCATACCCATTAAATTGGCCTCCATTGCTTCTCCAACATCCATTACATTCTCTAACTTCACAATAGAAAGCTTCCCGCATAGATGCAATAGATGCTTCAACTCCGTTAGTCTTGACCCGTTGCTTTTTCCCACAATAATCTTCGACAACGCCTGCAAATTTGTCAAGATGACGTAGGTAAATTAAATTTATAACGTTTGAGGTCAATGCACGAAGAGCTGTGCAGTTGCGTAATAACAGTGTTTGCAAATTGTACAAAGTACCCAATGATTCAGACAACCGTTGGATTGAAGTATAAGATAAATTGAGATATCGTAAATGCTTCAAGTTGCAAACGGAATTTGGTAACTCGCTTATTTTGTAACCTGACAAAGACAATACCCTTAAGCAATGTAATTTAGGCAATAAGTCAAACAGGATCCTGTTGCTTAAGTAGTGATATTTTGGCCAGGTAGACACTTCGTGAATTGGTAATGGTAAGAAAGTACGCAGACGTTGCACCTCATAAAGACTCTTGAACTTCTGGAAGACTTCATACCTTTGACTTGTGTAAGACAAGTGCCGAGTCCGTTTAGAAATTGTAGATTGCTCATTACCATCAAAATTATCATTTGCCCTGAAACATATTTCTCCAGCAACAAATTGAGCCAAATCATTCATGAGGTCATGCATCACAAATCTCTCCTTGTTATCACTTGATCGCTGAAAAAATGACCTTCACAGTAAATCATCAAAGCATTCTTTGCCAAAATCTTCCAAACCCATCTTTTCTTCATTTAGCTGCAAAAGACCTGTTGCCATCCATACCGAGATCAACTCATCTTTGTCAACTTCATAGTCTTTCGAAAATATTGAGCAGTATGCAAAACACTGCTTCAAGTGGGCAGGGAGATGAAAGTAGCTCGGTCTAAGAGCTGGGAGAATATTACTTTTTCCTCGTGGCAGCTCCCATATCTCGCTATGCAATATAGCCTCCCACTTTTTCTCGGCGAGTTCATTGCGTAAGATACCTCCGAGCGTCATTGCTGCCAAAGGCAAGCCATTACATTTTTTCACTATGTTGTCACCAACTTCTTTCAAATTCAGATGTGCATCAAAATTTATACTTCCAAGTGCATACTGAGCAAACAAAGATCGACATTCATCATGAGATAACTTCCGTAGACGGTAAGTTGGAACAGCCGGAATAGAACTCATCACTTTAGCTACCCCTTCATTGCGAGTGGTACAAATAATTTTGCTTCCCGGTGCCCCAGCCAGAAAAGGGCGACGTAGGAGGTCCCACTGTTGAAGATTCTCATTCCAAATATCATCCAAAACAAAAAAGAACTTCTTCCCTGACAGTATTTCCTTTAGTTTTACTTGAAGTTTGTCTACATCCTTGAAGTCATAGATTTGGTCAGTGAGCTTTTCAAAAATTGTCTTGGTCACCCCAAAAACATCAAAATCATCAGAAACGCAAACCCATGCCTTCATATCAAAGAGATCCTTCATAGTGTCATCATCATAGACGAGTTGAGCGAGAGTGGTTTTACCAACACCTCCCATGCCCACAATGGGAATGACAGAGACGGTCTCATCACTAGTACTTCCACCCCTCCTCTGCAACAACTCAACTATTGCACTTTTATCATTTTCTCTGCCATAAACACGAGCTTTGTCGACCAAAGAAGTAGTGGTGGGCAATCTTTCTCTTACTCTGCTCCCTCCAGTAACTTCTTTCAAACCCATGTCATTTTTTTGTTTTACAATCTCTTGTAACCTGGCAGTGATGACCTCTATCGTGGACCTCATACGACGATCAAACATAAAAGCACTAGGAGTAGGGAAGCTAGTACAACAAGTAGGGATGAGTACTTTCCATACCTTGCTGGTGCTAGCATGAGCTGGTTCCTTGTTCATCAACTTGCGTCGCAAAGCTTCGGTGGCAAACTCGTCTAGCAAATCATCCAAATGGTAAGCCAGGTCGTTGAGATCCTCCAGCCACTTCTTCACAGCTCCGTCTGATATCTGCTTCTCCTCGGCGTCACCGATCATGGCTTGAATGATGCGCAGCGTCTCGCTCAACTTGTTCAACTCAGCACCAAGTCCTTCTTGACGTGCAAACTTCTCCAAAACACCAGACTCCAACTTCTCTAACAGCACCTCAAGGAACGCTGCCAGAAAGATCTTTCGGATAACCATCATTTTCTTCGTCTAAAAAAACCGATCGATCAGCAAAGCGATTCTGAGAAAACAAAAGAAACGAAATTGCTGAACACAAATGTTTCGTTTGTGAAAGCTTGAGGAAGTCAAATATGTCTATGGCCTGAAACTAACCAATAATTCGGGACATATTAGAAGCTCATTGGCCAGGACTTCAAAGACCAACCTTTTTATTGGTCTGGAGGATTACAATCTTATCACAACGCCCAAAAAAATGTGACCTTAAGTCGCGCTCGACTTCAATTAATACTTTTTTCTTTTTTTAAAAAAAAAACCGTTTCTTAGATTATAGATTAAAATTTTTGGAATTATATGTACACACTAAGCTAATTCAGGAATTTTCTGAGTATCCTTACATTATTATTATTATTATTATTATTATTTTTTTTTTTTGTCAAATAGTAAGAAATTCACACACTCACTTTGCTCGTTTGGATACTTAAACAATATCTTACTTCATACTCAATTAACATTTTTATCCTTCTTAGAATTTGTGTTTTTTCAACCTTCTTAAATTTCTAAAAGAAATTATAAGTCATAAATTTTTCTTCCTTAAATTTGAATTTTACGTTATGGATATTGTTTAATATCGTGTTTTGTTGTAAAACAATAAAATTTTATTTTACTTCATTTTATTACTTTCATCATTATTAGACTTGGCACGGGGGCAAAGCACTCTTGGAGGGCATGCCTTTTCTTTTTCTTTTTTTTTTTTTTTTTTTGTCAAATCTCCTTTGAAGATCAATTTCTAATTCTCTTTTAAAAAAAAAAAAAAAAAACGGCATAGCATTGGAATTTTTACTAATATATATAAAAATCAATTGTCAAACCCTCGTAGAAAAAGGACTAGAGAAAAGGAAAAAAGAAAAAAGCTGTACTGAGGGTGCCTTATAGCAAATTTATTATTATTATTATTTTAACGTTAATTACGTACAAATTTTGAGAAGTGGACCAAACTGTTTGAAACATAACAATATAAGAATTATACAATTAGAGTTTTGTATCAAAATATAATCACAGCAGATCAAATGTAACTATGATTGTTTGTATTGTAATGCAGCTTCAACAAAAAAGGGGTGGTCCAACTGAGGTTCAAAACTGCTGTTAGAGGAGTTCGATGCTTCCTCTTTGAGCTATACATTATAGAAAGGCTAATACAATGGCTCATGAAGTTGCAAAGCTTGTGAAGATACTGACATAATTTCACATTGTGTCCCTTTAGATGTTCAGAGAGTAGCTGATATAGAATCTAAAAGTGTGTGTTAAAATGCCCCCAAAACAATAAATGATTTGGACACGAGTGCGAAAATTTTAGGGAAAAAAAATAGATTTTAGTCATTGAAATAAAACAAATTTACTTTGCAACAACCTATTTACACAAGAGAGAGCCTCTTTACAAAGAAGTTCCGACAAAGGTAGTTGAAGAGGAGCCATTTTTATACTCCCAGATATGATTTTGTTGGGCCTGTTAGCTACCCTTCTGCAACTAGCATCTTCCCAAACTGGTTATTGAGATAGTTTTATGTTTTTCAATCACCCCATATCTCGAAATCTATTCTTGACTTCACAAGCTTTTCAAGAGAGTGGATCAGTACCCTATTTCTGCATCCATAGCCAAACAAATTAGGACAACAAAAATGAATTTACCAAACAAATTAAGAGAAATATTACAAGACACTGTCAACATTGAGATAGAATACAAATGATGAAAGAGCTCATACTATCTTGATTATACAAAGGACCATGGAAAACAAAAAATAATCTTATTTCTTTTGATTGAATCTTCCAAGTTCCAATCAACAGAATTTAAGATGGAAAATAACTGGGTTCAGACTTGAACCTCTCAGCCGAGTATCAGAGATTACAAGGTTAAGATTTTAGAAAACAGGAGAGAGAGGGAGATTGATTTCAGGGTCACCCTCTTTCTTCTGTCTCTTTATCTTATGGTCGTGTGCTGTTCTCTGTGTCTTCGGCTTATTGCAGCCACTAAGGCTCATAGGTTTGTTTCGGGACAGAACTATTTAATCTCTTTCAACTTTTGGCCTAAACCGAGTTGAAACACAAAAAATTTCTAGTGCCCCAAGAATTTACAGTGAAATTGGGATGGAAAATGCACGTTGTGGAGAAATAAACTGGTGACAGAAAAGGAGTGACTTCTAGCACCCCTTCATATTGAATCGAGATCAACTTGCAGTGCTCACGGAAGCTGCTAAAACTGGGAGTCATGGACACAAACTAATGCCTTTAATGCAGATTGCTATTGTTTAAAAAAGCTTTATGTTTTTCCTTGAGCTTGGCTAGAATTACTCACAAATGAAAACATCATCATGATTGAGCAAAGTGTTAATCACTGTAAAATTCACATAAAGATTAAGCTAATAAATGACCTCATATACTAATGTAGATTTGGTAAACTATACCTCAATTTCAATTCATGCAGATAGTTTATGGTTGGATTTGGTTTAGGTTCATGGTACAAAATTCTTATACCACAAGCTTAACCTATTATTGGAGGCAAATATTGCTCACTTCTTACCTGAGGGCAATAGCAGTAAAAGATGATCCCATGCCATTCCCAATGAGAAACCAAAGCATCCAATGCCATTTCACCAAGCACCCATCTATTAAGGCATATCAGAGATCTGAAATAGGGATCCGACACATCAAATGCACAGAAAAGGCAGCCCTGCAGCGAAAGATGAAAGAATATCACAAGATGATAAAAATATTTATGCATCTGACAGGACATCCATAAACGTATTTCTTCAATGAACTTATCTTTAAATAGAGCTGCAAATTCATGATGAGAATCTCAATTTTAACTCTCTTTGTTATATGCAGATTGAATAATAAGGCAAAACAGTAATTCTCAACTGACAGTTCAAGATTTAAGATTTTATGGCTATACCCCAAGGCCATCATAAATAGTAAGAAGCAACTCAAAGTTATGCTACTTCTGAAGAATTATAGAGAGATCATAGAGCCCAATCAAGATGCCAGCGCCAAAACCAAAGATCAGAATGCCTAAACATATAAGAAGATAGAACACATGTCATCATGAAACAATAAATGCTGGTTGCGATAAGAATCAGATCAAATTAGAGGTAAATATCAGGTTCGAATACCTACTACATGCGAATAGCATAAACATGTCAGAATGCACTGCCACATATAACCCATCAATGAAATCAGTTAGTGTATCTGGAATTTCTACAGGCCTCCACCAGAAATATAGTGGTCCTAAACATGCCAAGGAAAGAGCTGCTACTCTGGGACAACTTAATTTTAAAAAATGTACTGATCGTGCAGAACCGCATTTTTATTAACTGCCACACTTCCAATGAATCTAGTCAGTATGTCCTGTGAATCAAAGGAAATAAATTTTAAAATAATAATAATAAAATATTTTTAAAATATCACACCAACTGCTTTTATTCTGGTCCACACTGTTTAAAAAATCGAATACCTGATAGCTTTTCAGCCAGTGAAGATGAGCTCCAGCAGCAATTTAATTAACTGCCACACTTCCACTGAATGTAGAGGGTCACGCATCACTTCCTGAATGTAAAGTTTAATTTCAGCAATACATTAGACCTTCCCATTTTGGTCTGAGCTGAAAAACTCTGACATTTAGTTTAACATATATGTTTGTTTATTTCTGTATATATATTGCACTCAAGCACTCATACTAACTGTAAAATTTATCCCAAAACAATTATTGTTCTGCTGTCTGGTGCAAACAGATTATACCCACAAGCAAATGCTTCCCATTAGTTCGATATACTAGATCTCCCTATGTTAAAGCTCCACACATTTTAATGACGTCACAATCTATTTTTGTTCTGAATTCTTTTGCTGAAAAAAAAGTTTACTCTTTGCACAAGTATGATTTCCTTGTGAGAGTATATTTTGACTTTTCTATGAAGGATATATTTCTGTTAGTATTTGGAGTGAAATATTTTTTATTTTTAAAAGGATCTAACTAAAAATAAATAGATGTAAGAACCATTTATTGTACTGTATTGAATATCTCTTTAATGAAATTCCATTCCATTCAGGAAAAAAAATTGCAATATTCACTTATCAGATACAGATAGCGAAGCAAATGGAGCTTAACTACAAGAACAAAGTAAATACAGTGGCACTCCCTTGCAAATAACACTCAACTGATTAGCTCAATATGAAGACCAGAATAAGATTATCTTTTATATGCTGTGAATGAAAATTACTCGAAGACATAAAAATTACTAGAAAAGATTAATTAAGCTGCAATGCAATCTACAACATTTTCAGAAGCTGTGACTTAGAAGACACAACATTTTCAGGATCGATTCTTGGAGGGGGGGTGTGTGAGTACCAACTAGGGAAAAAAAAGGACTCAGGCTTGATATACAAAAATAACTTCAGCAGAATTTCAGAGAATTCCACCTTATAGATCAAATACAGTCTCCAGGTAACAACAGGATGTTCAAAGTAACTTAGAGCTTTAACAAAAGAACACACAAATAATTTCCGCCGCATAATTGACACACTGCTGTAATACCCCGATAATTTTAAAAGATTTATTAATTAGGATTAATTATTTTATTTTATTTTTCAATGATTTATTTTATTTTATTGAGTGCTAGATTAATTATCTTATTTTAATTAAGTTATATTTCGTGATTATGTATGATGATTGATTGTTTGTGTGGTTGATTATTGATTGAATTATTGGTGTGTTGATTTTATTGGTATTATATGACTTAGTTGTAAATTCTTGTTTGTTTATGTGCTTCATGTAATTAGTTATTTTAATTTCTGTATTTAATTAATTATCTTATTTATTTAAATTAATTGGATTGGGTTTAAGGAAAGTTGGACCAAAAGATGTGGTCTTGGGCTTGTATGAAACCTTATTGGGTTAATTAATGAAGGTCCGTGGTTATTTAATTATTTAAATGATCACTTTTGTATCAATTATATTTATATATATATATATAATTATATATAAATATAATTCATTAATAATTGTTATGGAAAGATATATATATAGATATATATTTATTGATATTTATAAGTATATATGATTTAATTAACTAATGAGTTAATTATGGAAGGAATATATA